ACATCAATGTATCTGTATTGTATTGTTCTGTATTGTAAGATACAATCTTGTTTTTCACCTAATAAATATTATATTGAAGTTGTGTTTTATTGTTTAACATTTTGAAGTCAGGACAAAGTACCGTACTTCAAATTTTGGATAAAATGTCTTTCTAATGTCTTGATAGTTAGGGCAGCTGCGAGAAGTGTTGCTCTGTCTCCACTTCTCCATGGGTACAGCAGATGTGGCTCTCTTTGGGCAGTCAGTGCTGTCGATATCTGCCCGTCTCTCTCTCTCTCTCTCTCTCTCTCTCATGTTGGTTGGTGTTTGTCCAATGGGTAATGTACTTGTCGTTTTCTGTGTATTCAGAAAATATAGAATATATATATATTAATCTTACCACAGGTACAATGCTTGAATGTCTGTGGAGGCCACTAGTAAGAGTCTGTAGACACCTGTGCTGCCATGTGACTGATGACTCTGGTATGTAGGCTATCAAAGGATTTCCAAAATATCATTTCAGTATGCTTATATGCTTTACAGATCAGTTAACTTGCAGTTGCAGTGTTTGTTCTTGTTATTTATAAGCTTAAGAAACACAATGAAAACATGTGGCCAAAGTAAATTCTATGTGATGTCTTACCAGAAATAAAACTTTCAGAAGAAGAAATTGAACCAGCGTCCATCATCACCAGCGTCCCTAGCTCTGTCCATCCATGGTTTGAGAAATATGGAGAAGATGATGGAGTTTAGTGTGGAGGGGTGAATACATTGCTTCATATGTTATTATGGTCATAGCTCATGGGCTCCCCACCTGTGCACTTTGTGGAACCGCTCTCTAGGACTCTGAAGGACAAGATTTTCCCAAAAAGGCCAGACTGTAAAAACTGCAGTGGGCATTACCTCCAGTTCATTTGTTACACTGGAAATGGAAAATTGAGTCAAGCACATGGTACTGTTATTCTACTCAACTGTAAATTCATGAGTATTCAAACTTGATGAGTATTCTTTTTTATTGCCTGGAAATGAGTGTCTAAAACTTTTTACTATTTCAAAATACAGGTTGTCATTTTTAGCCCAACTGGATTGGTTTAGGAAACAAATACAACATCGAGCCACACAAAAATCTGGCCAGTGATAATGTATTTTTGTAGGGCAACCCAAACATTTGCATCACCCTGGTTCCCTTGATAAAAACCCAATTTGCTTTTGGATTATTGCAGGAAATATGCTCTGTGACCAACAAGAGTTTATGTTTCTTACACGTTTTGTTCATCATAATAATCTTCACAAATGAAGCCTGCTTCTAAAGCTAAATACAACTGTCAGAAGTAAAAAGCTCAACTTAGACTATAAATGAATTAAACCATGGTCACATAACTTCATAAGCTTCCGACAACTTTTTCGGTCTTTATTTAAAGAACATTTTTGCTGAAAGTTTGCATTTGAATAGTTTACAAGATCATGATTATGAACACAATGGCTGTAAAAGTGGGCTAGTGTGAGAAGATGACTTGACCTGTTTGACATGATGACGTGTAATGTCCCCAAAAACCTCTGTAATCCCATGTAGCCATGCAAACCTCCTTTTTCAAGACACATAAAAGCATGAAAAAAAATGACAAGGAGTAGTATTGATGTATTTTATGTCACGGAACTTCAGCTTGTGTTAACCACAGACTTTATTTCAGACATTTACCAAAAACCACAATTTAAAAAAAAAAAACCCATTGACTTCAGGATGGAACTAAAAGTGCTAAAATGCAAAATTGTTTCCAGGTTTTGGCCTACAAAAACACATCATCCCTGCAGCACTCATGGCACAGCACTGTGTTGCAACTCTTATCTTGTCAGTTTCCATTACATCCAAAGATCTTTTAGATGTCAACCAGTTAGTCATTGCTACTTCTCAATCACAACTAAACCTAGCTGTGTAATGCTCCTTTACAAACATGTTAAAAACCTGTCTTAAGTAACTTAAGTTTTTATTAATTTTCCTTTGTTTTTCCTTAATGTTCTGTTGTTTTAGGCTTTAAGTTTGTGTCTATCTAATGTTAGGCAAGGTACTTTGGTCAACAATCTGTTTTTGATTTATGATATTTATGTTTTTTGAAATACAGGTGTTAAAACTTTTTATTTTTGCAACATTTTGTATATTTTATGTAATGAAGCAAAACTGTAGTTTGCAAGTCTGTGGTTTGATTTGTTGCTCAAATATGGTTAACAACACCCACACAGAGTTTTACGTAGTTCAGCAGATTTTTAATTTTTTTTTTAATGGCAGAGTTGAGAATATGTACAATGTATGAATAAATGTTTTTGAGAATGTAACTTTCCCCTAAATTTAATTTAAAAAAAAAAGATATTTATTTTCTGTTCTCATAACAGCTACTGATTTAATTCTAATGTCATTGCAACTCTCTGCAGTCAATCAAAAATATTACAAAACCCTTGAGCAAGGCACTGAACCCCCAACTGCTCCCCGGGCGCCGCAGCATAAAAATGGCTGCCCACTGCTCCGGGTGTGTGTTCACGGTGTGTGTTTGTTCACTGCTGTGTGTGTGCACTTTGGATGGGTAAATGCAGAGCACTAATTCCGAATATGGGTCACCATACTTGGCCACATGTCACGTCATAAGGAAATCTACCTTTGATGCTCAATGGATGCATTTCATTGATAATTAAAGGGAAATTCCAAATGTCATACTAGCATGTTGTCATTGGCATTCAGCACTTCCTAAAAATCTAGTCACATTGTGCACATTTTTGTTTTTTTGCATAACAGTTAATTCATATATTACTAAAAATGTAGTACTAGAGGACATGCAAATATCATCAGATTTGCTTGAGGTTATGCAAAGTAGCGCATGCAATTTTTTTTCTTTTTTGTTTCTTAGCCTACTTATGGTTTCAATGCACCAATGGAAAATGGTGAGTAGCAACAGCTATTTACATATTCCAAACCATTTTTTTTTTTGAATCGACACATTCAGATTAACACAGTTCAAAAACCACATCATCATCAGAAAACCAATACATTAATTTATAGTAATGCTCAATTTACAGGAACAATGAAAATAATTTCACTTGAACAAAGTTTAAATGCATGAAATGTAATGCCATTATCTTTATATTAGCTCACAGGAAGTCAAGAGGTTGTGCATACAGTTCATTGAGACTTTGTGGTTTTGTTGTTTTTGTCAGTGTAGTCAGCAGTAGTGATACTAGAAACCAATGAGTCATTCTCTGACACATATTACATCCGCATAGGTCCATGCAAAGTTCATCACCAATATTTTTTTCATGCATTTACCCCACAACATGATTATTGTTTCATTTCTTATTGGGGGGGCACCCTTGGTAAATATGAGCAAAGGTGGCTGTGGAAATAAATCTGCATCATTTATCTTTTTGATCTTTCATTCAATAGATTCACAAAATTCTAACCTTTCATTGAAGTAAAACAATTGAAATTGGGGGGAAACTCACATTATGAAATAAATGTTTTTCTCCAAGACATGTTGGCCACAATTATTGGCACCCCTAGAAATTCTTATGAGTAAAATATCTCTTAAGTATATTCCCATTCATATTCACAATTTTGAGCACTCCAGGGTGATTATGAACATGCGGTAAAACATAGAATATAGTTCTGATGTGCAGAACAAGATTGAGCTTCACAAAATAGAAAGTGGGTGCAAGAAAATAGCTGAAGCATTTAAAATCCCCATTTCCACCATCAAGGCAATAATCAAGAAGTTCCAGTCAAGGTTTCAAGAAAAATCCTCTTCACTCATCCAAAAACAAACTTCAGCATATTCAGTTGTCAGGCATGATTTGAACTTCGAACGGGACTGGCTTCTATGGTCAGATGAAACTAAAAAAAAAAAAAAAGCTTTTTGGCAGCAAACCCAACCAGATGGGTTTGGTGCAAACGGATAAAAAGTACCCCATGCCCACAGTTAAATACACTGCTGGATCTTTAATGTTTTGGGTTTTTTTTCTGCCGGAGGTCCTGGAAATCTTGTTCAGATACATGGTATCATGGATTCTATCAAATACCAACAGATAAAAAAATCGAAACCTGACTGCCTCTGTTATAATGGGCCGTGGTTGGATCATCCATCAGGACAATGATCCAAAGCAAAAATCAAAATGTATCACCGAGCACAAAATGAAACTTCTGCTATGGCCGTCCCAGCCCCCTGACCTGAACCCTATATAAAATGAGTGTGGTGAACTGAAGAGGAGAAGCACCATCATGGAGCTGGGAATCTGAAGGGTCTGGAGTGATTCTGGATGAAGGAATGCTCTCTGATCTCTTGTCAGGTGTTCTCCAAACTCATCAGGCATTATAGGAGAAAACTCAGAGCTGGTATCTTGGGAAAAGGACGTTGCAATAATTGGGTGCCAATAATTGTGGCTAATGAGAACTAGACAAAAACATTTTATTTCATAATGAGATTTCCCCCCCATTGTTGTTCTTCAATGAAAGGTTAGAATTTTGTGAATTTTTTGAATGAAAGATCAAAAACATAAACGATGAAGATTTATTTCCACAGCCACCTTTGCTCATATTTACCAAGGGTGCCAATATTAGTGGTTGGCACTGTAAGTCTACTGCATGCACTATTGTTATACACAAATAAACTTTGTCTACTTTTTGTAATAAATATGTTTTGAAGTTTTTGGAAAGCAATTTATTAAATATTAAGTAATGAAGCTCTTCCAAACCCACCAATTTGCAAAAAGTAGGCGTAGGCCCCTATTTGTATTCACATGCTGTTTTAGATGAATGCATTCATTTAAGGTTGTTTTAACATTTGTTTTAGACTTATGTCAGATTTTTATACCATTCTGAGCAATTACCTCTGCTTGGTTTATTGCTTTTCATTCGATAAACATGCTTTGGAGTGGTTAAAACAGCATAAACATCTGCCTCCTCGTGGTGGCGCGATACTCCAAGTTCTCTTTCAACGAAGAAGCAACAAAGAAGGGACACCAAAACTCACGCGGGAACAGCTGCCTCTCAGCAACGTGTTCATAACTCCCTGCAGGAATTATTAAAACAACGGAGATATAACCAGTATAATGGAGCTATTGGTAAAAACACCGAAGAAAGGAAGATGCCGATTAAGGCGATTTAATTCTGGCGAAAATGGCAGAAAAAAAAAAAAGAAAAATAGTGAAGTTCATTCATTTCCTTCTCGCAGCAGTGGGCGGAATTTAAGTGAGATGGGGGATTTTGAAAGGTAAGCTTTTTATATTGGATCCTGAGACAACTGCACAAGAATCACTATTATACTGGAAATCAAGCTATTCATAACAATTTGAGACTTTAACTGTAAGTCTTTAAATATCGATATAAAGTTTGATGCTGTAAATGTCACAGAACCCCCTAATGCAGAAATCTTTTTTTTTAATGCGCACATGATCTAAAGCAGAGGTGGGAATTATTCAGGCATAATGCAATACTAATTTCTTGTAACTAACATCTCACTTCCTCTTAACTCACCCTTCCATCAGTCATTGTTTTGTCTGATGATTGTAATTCATTATTTGGAGTTAGCAAATTGTTGCCCTACTGCAGTGTTTCCCAACCTTTTTTCTGCCGTGGCACAGTTTTGATATGTAAAAAATCCCACGGCCCCCCACTAAGCATTACAAAAAAAAAAAAAGATAGAAAGGGGAAACATATTTTTTATTTTTCCAATAATTAAACATTGCGACATCAGAGCTGGTATTTTGGCTTTCTATATGCTCAGACACTTGCACTTACTTTCTGAAAATCATACTCAAATGAAGTTAATGAGGTTTTTGACGAGCGAGTGACAGAGATCTGTGTTTTGTCCATCATTAGAACAGCCGCCTCTGAGGCAGTAAATTAATAGCATTACGTTTCCACCAGTTTGCAGGTTATAAAGTTTATTGTAGCTATATGGGCGCTCAGTTTCTCTTGTTGTTAATACATCTGGCCAAAATCTCTCGATATAAAATACGAACAGCTATGATATTTAAAACGTACAAAAGTGAATTGGCTACAACTAGACAGCAAATGCTAAGACTCTTCTCTGCTCTTTATACACGCAAAAACATTAGCCTTTATTAAGTTTAACATGGGGAGTCTATGGGACTGACTCCCTTTTGGAGCCAGCCTCTAGTGGCCAGTCGATGAATTGCAGTTTTAGTCACTTCTGTGTTTCGTGTTCCGTGGTTTCACGAGAGAGACCGGAAGGTTGCCGCTTGAACCAAACAGTTGTGGGGTACCATTGACTTCATATTATTTTTTCATACTGTGGAAGTTTACTAAACACATCCTAGAAAAGTTGTCTATCGGAATGGCATGTAAACACTTTGGTTTTTACTCTGTTGTTTTCCTTACTGTAGGGGAGGGCAGCATCCTCATACATCATCATTTTTTTAATATAATTTTTAGTATCACCATGATTCCAGGAAGGGGGAGTAATGTCAGACTTTGTTCCATGTTTTGTGTGTGCTCCATATCCTGGTTTTCCCCTGTGTTTCTCTATGCCCATATTTGGTCCATCCTGTTCCTGTCCCCATTTAGTTCTATATGTTTCAGCTGTGTCCCATTAATCTATAAAATATAACTTTTATTTTAATTTTAAATTATAGTCATAATACTAAAATAATTTTTACTTCTGAAGTGTGGTTACATTTCTAGGGCCATAATGGATTCTGGGAAAACGCAGACGGGATCGTGGAGTCCATTCATAAAAACGTAATTTACTCTATATGCCATGGAATTTGTCAATTTTGGACGAATAAATCAAAAGTAGGTCTGCCACTTAATTCGAATCGCGATATGAACTAGTGTCTGTGAATATTAAAATGCAAAAAGACGGTTTAAGTATGAATCCTGCATGTTCCGCTTGCCTCTGTATGAATGGCGGAACCGCGGTTTTGTTTACTAAAGAAATACTGAAGCACGCGTGACGCTCGCGGTGATTTTCGGCCTCTGCGTCTCACTATATGACGGCATGAACACAAAAACTTAATCTCCAGAGCTGCTGTGAGTCACTTCACGAGAATATTACCGTTTGAGAAAACTAGCATCATACTGTATAAACACAGAAACTTCATGGCAACCTGTCAAAATAAAAGTATGGTTTAACATGTAACAGAAATATATTACTCTTGTATTACTTTTGTAGAGTATAATGTACATCTTTAAATATTCAATTTTCTATCAAATTTAAAGAAAACAATTATATGATAAAAATAAATATTACAACCAGATTAATCACTTAATTGTAGAAAAAAAGAATACAGTTATTAGCCTATTATAAGATGTTTTAAAGGAATATTCACACAATTTTTCTTCCATGTATTAATGTCAACAGTAAACCTCAGTTTGTTTGCCAAAAAATAAAAGGGTTTAACTTTCATTTGATTTAAAATAAATGTTTAATGCCTTTTACAAGAATTTCTAGGGGAAAAAAAGTTTGTAGTGCCCTATTGTTCAAAATGTTGAAATTGAGACTTTTGGACGTATTTTTTTCACTGAAATAAATGTTATTGTAATTACACAGAGAGTAAAGTTCCGAAAAAAGGTACCGTTGGGTACTGGCACCGAAATTCAGGTACCGATTAAAATGAATGGTACCCAACCCTAGTTGCCGGTTGGTCGCAGCACTTCATTCTGAATTGAGGTGGGGTGGAGTTATGAGAAACCAGTAATCGGCCCATCCCTATTCTGTACTCACTTAAATTCATTAAACTCTGACACTGTTTGAGATAAAAATATCAAACCAATTAAAAATATCAAAAATCTCTAAATATTATTCCCTATGATGCACAAGGCTTGTTTTTCAGATTATTAATCAGATTTTTTTATTCAGTACTGAACCCATTTAAATCTATTAAACTTGAACACCATTTAAGCTAAAGATACCAAACCCACTGTAAGTTACTCTGAATATTATTCTGCATGATGCACTAGGGCTGGACCAGAATATTCGATTATTCGAATATTCGTTCGGTGGGTTGGCATTCGATTTTCAATTTTGAGATTCGAATATTCTTTTTTTTTTTTCCCCAAACACCTGGCATCCCCCGCGAAACGGTTCTCATTCGCGCTTGAATATGAATCGCCCATGAGTGAACGTCATGAACATCATGATTCAGTTCATCTGGAAGAGAAGACAAAAATGCCGAAGACCTCAGCTTTGTGGGAGCACTTTAAATCGAGTGAGGACCAGACAAAGGCAGTGTGCCAAATATGCGATTTGAAACTGGCCTACCACAACAGCACATCAAGTTTGAAAAATCTGTAAAAGTTCTGTAAGTAGTACGCCTATAGTATATTGTTGGTGTAAAAAAACGAGCTGCTTTTATCCACCATGTTAATCAGTAATTTTACACATGATAAAAATGTGCACTTAATTTGCTTGGAAAATACTTGCGAATACGGCAGTCATAAAAAAAACGTACAGTAGCCCAGCCTAATAATAACTTGTCTATATTAAAAGTATTGCTCTTAACAGACCTGTGTGTTTTGTATCACTAGTGCAGTGTCCGTTCTCGCACCATATAAGCCCTGCCCGCGTGACGCGCGCTGCTTCTGGCTTGCGCTGTTCTGTAGTTTATTAAAAGTTTATTCATTCTGAACGTGTCGCGTGTCCATATT